TATCTAAAACCACTACTGTTTATTAGAATATGTAGGACACATTTTTGAAACACGACACTCACACCGTCTACAATATGTGCAGGTTAGAAATTCACATCCCTGCACGTTGGAGGCACATTGATGATAAAGTTTCTTTGATGGTTTTCTATCCACAGGGTGGCGTGTCGGACGAAGTCACTCTCACTGCGTACATCACTGCGACGTTTCTGGAGAATAAGAAATATGCAAAAGTAAGTAGATGCCCCTGTGGCTCAAAGAATTCCCATGTGTGTGCTCTTCCTTTGGAGATGATGACGTATCCTGCTGAACCGAAAAGCTCACTAGGTCACACCACGGGTTTATAATGCTGACATCTGTGGACAGAGAGCCGTGGCGTGTTTGCGTTTGTCTTTTGGGGGCTTTCCCCCCTGTTTGACTTTAGTCTTTTGATGTGTAATTTGAATCTGTTTTTCTATTCATTTGTGGTTATTATTTTATAGCGGTATGACGGAAGAAGTTTTAAGAGGTTGACAACAGAAAGTATAAGATCAAGGCCAATTGCAACGTAACTAAGGGCTCACCTGATCCAGCCTCAACTATAAGCTTTATTTAAGAACAAATCTCATAACAAAAACATTTTCATCCTTCACTGTGATAATTAAAAAGTCTTTCTCTCACTGACTGCTATTATGCACATAAAAGACATCAACATCTGTTCTGTTTTGCTGCAGGGAGATAAGACCATGTTCACTGACATACTGCTGACGTAACTCTGAAACTGTTGTTTTGATCAGTATACTGAACTTTGTTCTGACACATTAATTGTGAAAATTGTTAAAGAATTCAGTGGTGACGAAGAGCCTGGCTTGCCTCAAAGACTCCATGAATGACCTCAGCAACACCTACACTACAGCTCTGATGGCGTACGTCTTCACCCTGGCAGGAGACGTGGAGACCCGCGCTCTCCTTCTAGAGCACCTCGACAAGGTTGCAGTAAAGCAAGGTGAAGGTGCCTCATGCAGGAACCCATAAATCCCTCGTCATCAGAAACGCAGCTTATGTCGTGTCTCTGTCTGTTTGTGTGCGGCTCTCAGGCAGTTTCATCTACTGGAATCAGAAATCAACAGAAACGTCCGCCTCCCTGTCAGTGGAGATCAGCTCCTACGTGCTGTTGGCCAAAATCAGTGCTTCCCCAACCAGTGAAGAACTGGCTTATGCCTTCAGCATCGTGAGGTGGCTGATTGAGCAGCAGAACTATTATGGAGGCTTCTCCTCAACACAGGTAGTGAACTCCCATAGAGTGCATCTAAAAGATTCAGTTAGGTCAGCCATTGACCCATGATTGCAACAACGTTCAGTCCAGTGTTTACTGTGTGTGTGTGAGAGAGAGAATGTTCGCATTAATATGAATATACCGTATTCAAAGTAGTTTCTGTTTTGTATTTGCATCTTATATAGGACACAGTGGTGGCTCTTCAGGCTCTGGCATTGTACTCCATTGAAGTGTTCAGTTTTAAGGGCTCAAGCAAAGACGGCTCAGAAAAAGGAGGCTCAAGCACAGGTGGCTCAAGCAAAGTGGCAGTTGCTACTCCTGGTGGCCAGGTTACGTTCCACGTCAATCGAAACAACAGACTGCTCTACCAGGAGGAGATAATAGTGGAGAACATAGCAGGGAAGTACATCGTGGAGATGAAAGGCAGCACAAGTGTTTTTGTGCAGGTCAGTCCCCATATCAACCTGGTTGTTCCAAATAAAGATGAAGTCACTGTTCACTTGTCATTTAAATTAAATACATAAATGTTAGCGTAGTCAAAACTGTAGCCAATGGCGATTTTTTTTTTTTCTTTTAAGCCAAGTTTACTCTGTGTTACTGTAATGATTCTCATATAGCGCTTTTCTACTCTCCCGGAGTACCCAAAGCATTGTATACAACATTCCACATTCACACCTATTCTCACAAGCACTGTCTCTAAACTGAGTGCGTTTCTAACGCCATTCACACGCCGATGGATGCATCGGAGAGCAACTTGGGGTTAGTATCTTGCCCAAGGATATTTGACATGCAGACTGCAGGAGCCAGGGATCGAACCACCAACCTTCCGATCAGTAGGTGACCTGTACCTCCTGTGCAAGAGCCACCTAATCTATGCTACATACTAC